ATTTTCCCACAGAATTAAAAAAAATCCCCTGAAAATTCCACAAAATTCTAGAAAAATTCCAAAAAAATTCCTGAATTCACCTGCTCGACGTGAGGAGCCACATCCCAAAGGAATTCCCAAAATATTCCCAAAGAATTCCCAAATCCCTGGAAAATCCCAGCAAAATTTCTCAAAAAAATTCCCACAAAATTCCCCAATTCCAAAAAAATTCCTTCCGAATTCCCACAGAATTCCCAAAAAATTCCCACAAAATCCCTGCAGAATTCCCTAAAAATTCCTGCGGAATCCCTGAATTTCTTAAAAAACCCCACAGAATTCCCAAATTCCCAAATAATTTCTGCAGAATTCCCAAAAAAATCCCACGGGATTCCCCAGTTCCCAAAAAGTTCCCACCAAATAACTACAGAATTCCTGGGAATTCTCAAATAATTGCTGCAGCGTTCCCAAAAAATTCCCACAAAATTCCTGAATTCCCAAAAAAATCCCCACAGAATCCCTGAATTCTTACAGAATTCCCAAATAATTCCCACAAACTCCCCAAATCCCCAAAAAAAATCCCAAATTCCCATCAAATCCCCACAGAATTCCCAGGGCCGGCTTTTTCCTGGGAATTCCGGGTTTTTCCTGGGAATTCCAGGTTTTTCCCGGCTCCCATTCCCATTTTTCCTGGGAATTCCAGCTTTTTCCCGGCTCCCATTCCCATTTTTCCTGGGAATTCCGGGTTTTTCCCGGGAATTCCAGGTTTTGCCCGGCTCCCATTCCCGTTTTTCCTGGGAATTCCGGGTTTTTCCCGGGAATTCCAGCTTTTTCCCAGCTCCCATTCCCATTTTTCCTGGGAATTCCGGGTTTTTCCTGGGAATTCCAGCTTTTTCCCGGCTCCCATTCTCGTTTTTCCTGGGAATTCCGGGTTTTTCCCGGGAATTCCAGCTTTTTCCCGGCTCCCATTCCCGTTTTTCCCGCAGCTCTTCAGCCCTTCCGTGGCGGTTCCGGACGTGACCCTGCCGGACCTGGACAGCAGCTTGGCCAGCGTGAGCTCGGAATTCCGGGAATTCCGTGGGAATTCTGGGAAAAAAAATTTGGGAATTCCAGGAAAAAAAATCTGGGAATTCCAGGAAAAAAAAATCCCTGCCCCCACGGAGGAAAAATCCCGGATTTTCCCTGGAAAATCCTTGGGATTCCTCAGGAAATCGATCCCAAATCTCAGCCCGGCTCCGGTTTTTCCATGGAAAATCTCGGGGGGATTTTTTTGGGATGGATTTTCCTGGTGAAATCCCGGGATTTGGGGGTTTTTTGGGAATATTTTGAGAGATTCCCGGGGTTTTTTGGGGATGTTTTGTGGGAATGTTTCAGTCTCAGAAGGAGGGAGAGGATCCCGGAGCGGCTCTGGAATTCCCGGAATTCCGCGGGATGGGGATGGAGGGTGGGGGTGGGGAGAGGGGGAATCCGGAGGGAAAATCAGGATTGGGATCGGGATTGGGATTGGGATTGGGATTGGGATTGGGATTGGGATCGGGATCAGGTTCGGGATCGGGGCTGGGATCGGGGCTGGGATCGGGATCAGGGCTGGGATTGGGATCGGAGTCGGGATTGGGATCAGGATCAGAGCTGGGATTGGGATTGGAGTCGGGATTGGGATCAGGATCAGAGCTGGGATCGGGATTGGAGTCGGGATTGGGATCAGGATCAGAGCTGGGATTGGGATTGGGATCAGAGCTGGGATTGGGATTGGGATCAGAGCTGGGATTGGGATTGGGATCAGAGCTGGGATTGGGATCGGGATCAGAGCTGGGATTGGGATTGGGATCAGAGCTGGGATTGGGATTGGGATCAGAGTTGGGATTGGGATCAGAGCTGGGATTGGGATTGGGATCAGAGCTGGGATTGGGATCGGGATCAGAGCTGGGATTGGGATTGGGATCAGAGCTGGGATTGGGATTGGGATCAGAGCTGGGATTGGGATTGGGATCAGAGCTGGGATTGGGATTGGGATCAGAGCTGGGATTGGGATCAGGATCAGAGCTGGGATTGGGATTGGGATCAGAGCTGGGATTGGGATTGGGATCAGAGCTGGGATTGGGATTGGGATCAGAGCTGGGATTGGGATCAGAGCTGGGATTGGGATCAGGATCAGAGCTGGGATTGGGATTGGGATCAGAGCTGGGATTGGGATCAGGGTCAGGGCTGGGATCAGGATTGGGATCAGAGCTGGGATTGGGATCAGGGTCAGGGCTGGGATTGGGATCAGAGCTGGGATTGGGATCAGAGCTGGGATTGGGATCAGGATCAGAGCTGGGATTGGGATTGGGATCAGAGCTGGGATTGGGATCAGGGTCAGGGCTGGGATCAGGATCGAGACTGGGATCGGGTTTGGGATTGGGATCGGGATTGGGATCAGGGTTGAGATCAGAGCTGGGATTGGGATTGGGGGTTGGGATTAGGGTTAGGATCAAGATTGGGATTGGGATCAGGGCTGGGATTGGGATCGGGATCAGGATCAGGGCTAGGATCGGGATTGAAACGGGGATTGGGTCTGGGATTGGGATTTGGATCGGGATTAGGGCAGAGATTGAGATTGGGGTCAGGATTGGGGTCAAAATCAGGGCTGGAATTAGGACCGGGATTGGGATTGGGATTGGGATCAGGATCGGGGCCAGGCTCAGGATGGGAGATGGGATTGGGATCTGAATTGAGGCTGGGATTGGGATTGGGATTGGGATTGGGGTCAGGGTCAGGAGCGGGATGGGAATCAGGATCAGGGCTTTAATTTGGGCCAGGATTGGGATCAGGATCAAGGCTGGGATCAGGATTGGGATCAGAACTGGGACTGAGGTCAGGATCGGGATTTGGGTTGGGATCAGAGCTGGGATCAGAGTCGGGATTGAGATTTGGGGTCAAGATCAGGCCTGGAATGGGGGTTGGGAATCGGGATCAGGGCTGGGATCGGGGTCAGAGCTGGGTTTGGGATCAGGGCTGGGATGAGAACCAGGATCGGGATGGGATTGGGATTGGGGATGGGATTAGACTCAGGATCAGGACTGGGATCAAAGCTAGGATTGGGGCTGGAGCAGGGCTGGGATCGGGATTGGGGCTGGATCAGGGCTGGGATCGGGATTGGGGCTGGGATTGGGATTGGGATTGGGATCGGGATTGGGACTGGGATCAGGATTGGAACTGGGATTGGGATTGGGACTGGGATCAGGATTGGGACTGGGATTGGGATTGGGGCTGGGATTGGGATCGGGACTGGGATCAGGATTGGGACTGGGATCAGGATTGGAATTGGGATCGGGATTGGGGCTGGGATCGGGATTGGAGCTGGGATCAGGATTGGGGCTGGATCAGGGCTGGGATCGGGATTGGGGCTGGGATTGGGATTGGGATTGGGATCGGGATTGGGACTGGGATCAGGATTGGAACTGGGATTGGGATTGGGACTGGGATCAGGATTGGAACTGGGATTGGGATTGGGGCTGGGATTGGGATCGGGACTGGGATCAGGATTGGGACTGGGATCAGGATTGGGATTGGGATCGGGATTGGGGCTGGGATCGGGATTGGAGCTGGGATCAGGATTGGGGCTGGATCAGGGCTGGGATCGGGATTGGGGCTGGGATTGGGATTGGGATTGGGGCTGGGATTGGGATCGGAGCTGGGATCAGGATTGGAACTGGGATCGGGATTGGAACTGGGATCGGGATTGGGGCTGGGATCGGGATTGGGATTGGGATCGGGATTGGGACTGGGATCGGGATTGGGACTGGGATCGGGATTGGAGCTGGGATCAGGATTGGGACTGGGATCGGGATCGGGGCTGGGATCGGGATCGGGGCTGGGATCGGGATTGGGACTGGGATCAGGATTGGAACTGGGATCGGGATTGGGACTGGGATCAGGATTGCAACTGGGATCGGGATTGGAACTGGGATCGGGATTGGGGCTGGGATCGGGATTGGGATTGGGATCGGGATTGGAGCTGGGATCGGGATTGGAATTGAGATTGGGATCAGGGCTGGGATCGGGATCGGGGCTGGGATTGAGATTGGGGCCAGGATCGGGATTGGGACTGGGACCAGGATTGGGGCCAGGATCGGGATTGGGACTGGGACCAGGATTGGGGCTGGGATCAGGATTGGGGCTGGGATCAGGGTTGGGATTGGAGCCAGGATTTGCTCCAGGATCATTCCCAGTTCTCCAAGCGGCGCCAGCTCCGTCTCATTCCCGGAATTCTCCTCCCCCGTGGAATTCTTGGGATGAGCAAGGGCCGAGTTTGGGATTGTGGGGATTTTTCCCTCTGCTCCGGAGGATCCCGGAGCATTCCCGGCTTTCCCAACCCGTAAAAACCCGGGATAAACGGAACAAATTCCCGAAATTCCCAAAATTCCGGCAGATCCAGGATCTCCTCTCGTCCCAGGAGCAGCAGAAGCCAGCGGAGGCCGAGCCGGGCGCGGGGGATTCCGGTATTCCCAGCGGGAATTTGGGGATCCCTGGGATTCGGGAATGGGGCGGGATCCACCTTTGGAAAATCGGGATTGTCGGGATCAGGGCCGGGAACAGGGGAGGAGCCCAGGGGGATCCAGGAATGCGGGAATGGGATCGGGAATTGGGGACGGGAAGAGGTTCCCGGGATCTGAGGGGTCGGGATCCTTGGGATCCTTGGGATGGGATCGGGAGCCTTGGGATTGGGATTGGGACTGGGATCTTCGGGATTGGGACTGGAATTGGGGTGGGGCCTTTGGGATTGGGACTAGAGTTGGGATCCATGGGATCGGGGTGGGATTGGGATTGGGATGGGAACCTTTGGGATTTGGATCCGGATTTGGGGATGGGGAGGGATGGGAGAGGTTCCCGGGATCCAAGGGGTTGGGATCGTTGGGATTGGGATCCTTGGGATCCTTGGGATTGAGATCCATGGGATTGGGATTGGGACTGGAATTAGGATTGGGATTGGGGTCCACAGGATTGGGGTGGGATTGCGGTTGAGATCCATGGGATTGGGACTGGAATTGGGATTGGGATTAGGGTGGGATCTGGGATAGATTGGAATTGCTGTCAGGATTAGCTGGGATCGGGATTGGGATTGGGTTTGGGTTTGGGATCAGGATCGGGATTGGATTTGGGATTGGGATCGGGATTGGGATTGGGATTGGATTTGTCTTTGGGATCGGGATCGGGATGGGGTGAGAGCCCCTTTCCCATCCGGTGTCCTGGAATTCCAGCCTGGAGCTTGGCCCATTCCCATCCCAGACATTCCCAAATATTCCCTGCCCATCCCAGACGTTCCCAAATATTCCCTGCCCATCCCAGATGTTCCCAAATATTCCCTGCCCATCCCAGACATTCCCAAATATTCCCTGCCCATCCCAGACATTCCCAAATATTCCCTGCCCATCCCAGACATTCCCAAATTCCCCCAATCCCAAATTCCCATTCCCA